AAATATTTGTTGTTGTTTGGGTTACTTAATTATTTCTTCATCTATTTTATCTTAGGACTGATCAGTACAAGTGAAAGCTTGGCATGTTTCTTGAATAAGACTAGTATGATCTGATTTGCTAGGTGCATATGAAAATTGATCTAGGTAGTTAGAGAATACATCAAACCCATTCGCTACAGCTTGCTAGAATTAGTATTGATCGACACTCCATAGTATACATCGATCGATAGTCAATACCAAACATTGATCGACAATCCAGAGGAGACATCGAGTGATCCTCCCTTAGGACTCGCATACGAAAGTTGGATTCCTAGGTCTAAGCATTATATAATCTATGCATTCGAAAGTTGATAGATTATAACTTAATAAGTTTGAGTTCGAGAACAATTGATATTCATAAACCCTTTATAACCATAAATTGCATACTTATCATACTTGAGAATTTACCTAAATCTAGCTATCTTCCAACTTGTTAACAACCTCAAATCAATCATCTGAGTAACTTCCTTGCTCACCTCATTTATTTATTGTTTTAAACCATTAACCCAATTTACAGTGTAGCTTTATTTTAAATACTATAATCTATTGTGTAATCCTCGAGTCTATGTGGATTTGATTCCTAAGTACTACAACTAAACCTCTTATTTGAGAGAGAGAGAGAGAGAGAGAGAGAGAGAGAGAGAGAGAGAGTAATTCACTCCTTATGGTAATTTAAGTCATATCAGGGTATGAATTTGAGATTGAATACAAGATGAGGGCAGAGAATAAAGTAGCTGATGGACTTTCCCGTATCTCTCATCATCAGTCAAAAGGAGTGACACCACTTCTTCTGTCGATGACAACTCCAACAACTCTTTCAGGTACAAAAATTGTTACAGGAAATTGATGAAAATGCTGAGATACAGACAGTATTGGTGAAGTTATTAACGGGAGAAGTGAAGAAGCCTGGATATTCAGTCGTTGAAGGGAGCCTTCTATAAACAGAAGTTATTGATACCATCAAAGTCTCGGTTTATACCTTTGATATTCCAAGATTACCATGATAGCTTACTTGGTGGGCATTCGGGAGTTCTTAAAACGATGAAGAGGATTCAGTCTCAGTTCTATTGGAGGGGAATGCGTAGCACAGTTCAGGATTATGTTGCAAGTTGTGTTGTGTGCCAGACAGATAAGTATTCTACTTTAGCTCCACCAGGTTTGCTTCAGCCTATTCCTTTGCCATCCCAGATATGGGAAGATATATCCATGGACTTCATTGAAGGGTTGCCTAAGTCTCAAGGAGCAAATGTTATACTTATGGTTGTTTATCGGTTAAGAAAGTACAGTCATTTTTTGGGACTGTGTCATCCTTTTACGGCGTATGATGTGGCTCAGAAGCTTGTGCAAGAGGTAGTGAGATTTCATGGGTTTCCCAAATCTATTATCTTAGATAGAGATAAAATCTTTTTGAGCAATTTCTGGAAAGAGTTTTTCCATGTGTCAGGCATAAAACTTCGCTCTAGTACTGTCTTTCATCCTCAATCTGATGGGGAAACTGAGGTGATTAATCGTTGCGTAGAGACGTACCTGAGGTGTTTCTCTTCTTCATATCCTAAGACTTGGGCTCGTTTCTTACCTTGAGCTGAGTTGTGGTTTAATATGTCGTTTCACACTTCAACTTAGTGCTCTCCTTTTAAGATGGTTTATGGACGAGATCCGCCTACTTTACTTCAGCTTGAAACGGGGTCAACGGAGAACTTTGAGCTAGAATGTATGTTGGTTGAACGTGATGCTTTACTCAGCGATGTGAAGGAACATTTAACGAGAGCACAGGTTATTATGAAAAGAATAATGCTGATAAAAAGATGAGAGATTTAGAGTTGACAGTTGCGATGATGGTCTATTTGAAGCTCAAGCCTTATCGCCAACACTCTGTTAGCAGGCGTTTCTGTCAGAAGTTAGCAGCAAGGTACTATAGACCATTCAAGGTTACAGAGCGTATTGGTTCAGTTGCGTACCATTTAAGGTTGCCAGAAGATTCAAAAATACATCCAGTGTTTCATTGTGAAACATTGTTATGATGATGAGGGGTACTTAGAAGTGTTGATTAGGTGGTCTGGATTTCTGGAACATGAGAGTACTTGGTTGCGTTTGACTGAGTTTATTCCTACATTCCCACTTGAGGGCAAGTCGGTGCTTAAAACGGGGGGGGGGTATTAAATGTGCCGTATATATTTTATATCAGAAGAAGGAAGAAGTCACAAGGAGGTAGAAGAGAGGTTGACGTGGCAGAGAAGGAAGAGTTTACCAATTTAGTTGACTAAGTTTGTTACGAATTGTAAGTGGGACTTGGTATATATTCCATTAGTTTGTTAGACATCAGAGAAAATTTTAGAAGTTTATTAGCTCGCTTGTGAGTAACAACTTTGGGATTTCCAAGCTTAAACACTTGGATCTCTTGTACTTCCTTTAATATTGAACTAGATCTTGACCCGCGCACCGGCGCGAGTTTAACTTAATTTAGAAAAGCATAATATATTCATAAGTCATCGGTTATTACCGTATTTCAAAAACTATGATCGTATTGAATGTAATAGGACTGGGGTTTGATTCCGGGTCAACTTTTGTTGAATTCTTATGTTCGTAGTTTTTTTAATTCTACATATATAAGATCTGTTCTATTATCTATATAAATTGATTTGCGTCCGGTTCGATTCTTTTGGTTTGAGCTGAGTTTGGTAATAATTATAATAACCGACTAATATCAGATAAATTTTTGGTTCCAATATGATAACGGTTTGGTTACGACTTCTAGGATTAATTTTAGATTAATCGGGGAAAAACTGATTTTGGGGGGGGGTAGGTGTTTCGGATAAATATCCAGTTACGAAAACAAAATTTTAATATTTTAGTTAAAACTATTCAAATATTTTGTGTCTTTATGATAATTTGAATAATGTAAAATACTTTAGATAAAATATATTTGAGTATTAAATTATTTGAAATGTAAGTTGTTATTATCTTAAAAACTGATGTTATTTTTAATTTAGTCAACAATAAATAAAATTGAATATGGTCTTTATATAAAATATAAACTAAAAACACAAATTACTACAATGAGCCAAATGATTAAAGCCAACCATAACATAAAATAAATTAAACAAAAGCCCAATCTATACTATTATTTAAGAAGTAAATTTGCTTAGTTGTCATGTTCTCCATAAATTTAGGTAATTTTGTTTATTTATCATATTTTTAATATTTTTATATATTTTATTTATAAATAAAACGAATTTATATGAATATATCATATTTTTAGTAAATAAGATAATTCTTGTGAATTATGTTGTTATCTTGAAATATATTTTTATATATAAAACTTAAATTTTAAATTAAGATATAAACATTATTATATTTATCTGAAACATTATATTAATAATTTAATATTTAAATATAACTAAAACAAATTTATATTAATAATTTAAATTTTTTCTAAAATAAGATAATCATTATGGATTATGTTGTTATGTTGAAAACATATTTTCCTATTATAAAACTTAAAATTAAGATATAAAATTATATTAAAATCCTAATTAAATATAAATCATCAAAAAATTATTTGAAAAGTGAATTTGTTGATTGTCTCCATGATCCTAACTAATTTTGGTCATTTATCAGAATTTCTATAATTTTTTTACTATAGATTATATAATTAAAACTAATTTATATTAATAATATGATATTTTAGAAAATAATTTAATTCTTATGTATTATGTTGTTATCTTGAAAAAATATTTTTTAATTATAAAATTTATAATTAACATGTAAAAAATATATAATATTATTTAAGAAGTGAATCTGATGTTTGCTGATTTTTCATATTTTCCATGATTTTAGGTAATTTTAATAATTTATCAATTTATATAGTTTTATATATAATTTATTATATATTTGAAACAAATTTTATATTAATAGTATCAGATTCTTAGAAAATAAGATATTGCTTATGTATTAAGTTGTTGTCTTGAATATATATTTTTCTATTAGAAATTTAAAACTATGATATAAAAAGTTGTAGTTATTCTATAATTAAAATAAATTTACACTAATAATATTATACTTTTAGAGAATATGGTAATTCTTATGTATTATGTTGTTATCCTGAAAATATATTTTTATATTATACAATTTAAAAGTAAAATAGAAAATTATATATTATTAATTAAATATAAATCATCACTCAAGAAAAATTATTTAATATGTGAATTTGCTGATTCATTAAGTTCTCAATAATTTTAGGTAATTTTAATTATATGTCATAATTTTTATAATCTTATATAATTATTATATAGTTAAAAAATTCTCATATTATATTTTTAGAAAATAAATAACTTATGCATTATATTGCTATCTTGAAAATATATTTTTCTAATATAAAATTTAAAATTAAGATATAAATATTATAATTAAATATAAATCAAGAAAAAGTTGTAGAAATATAATTTTTAAAATATTTCTGATGTTTGAGTTTTGTCATTGATAATTATTTGATGTTTGATTTTTACTTGTTGAAAACATTAACTAATAAATATTCATAAGAGAATAATGCCCGCAAGTGCGGGCAAAACACCTAGTTCTATTATAATAATGTTTAAAAGCCCAACTCCTTTAAACTTATAGCCAAACAACATTAAACTCTTTATTACTACTATTTAAGTTTCCAAACAAACCTAAAGAGTACTACAACTTTAATAAGATAGATAAAGATTTGCTTTATTCTTATCAAGATTCCACTTCAACCAAAGTGAGAAGAAAGAAGTTTGCTTCAGCGAGACTAGGGACATACGAGTCATGAGGAGGGAAACTGGTAGAGGTCAAAACCAGATACAGAGGATTTCACTGTTGTTTCTGTTTGATCTGTCACACCAGAGGTGCTCGAGCGTCCATGTGTATCAATGTTCATCAGCTTTGACATGCTCCAGTCGTGTCCATATAAACCAGGATCCGGCATAATCTCTTTTATTTCTATCACTCCCTCCAGCATTTGCACGGCCTCTGACATGGTTGGTCTCAATGAAGGAGATGAGTTTGTGCAAACAAGAGAAACATTTATCATCCTCACGGCTTCTTTACTACTGAAATCACCTTCCAGCGTTGGATCTACAATCTCCAATATGTCCCCATTCTGTTGCAGCTTCAGTGCCTAACATTTGATATTAAAAAAAAAGAGAAGTTTCATTACACTTTATAAGTTATGAACCAAATGTGATAATAGAAAGGAAAGCTCTAAGGTTACCCAATTGATAAGAGAGATTTCATCATCACCTCCCTTGTGTTTAGAATTACTCTGTCCACTAACAATTTCCATCACCACAACCCCGAAGCTATAAACGTCTGCTTTCTCTGTTAACTGACCCCATAGTACATATTCTGGAGCCATATATCCCCTGCATTACAATCAATAAATGCCAAGACTGAGATAATCTTGGTCGGCCATGGTTTTGGTTTTATGTACGATACTTACATGGTTCCGGCAACTTTGGTACTAATGTGACTGTGTTCTTCTTGATGGAGCCTAGCCAATCCAAAGTCCGATATCTTTGCATTTAGGTCGGCGTCTAGAAGCACATTACTGGTTTTTATGTCACGGTGAACCATCCGGATCATCGATCCTTCATGGAGGAATTCAAGGCCTTTTGCGATTCCAACACATATTTTTTTCCTTGCTACCCAATCCAGTTTCAGGGAGCTCTTTTCTACAAATGGATTTAAACATTAGAGAATTGATGTGATTCTATGCATTTGAAAATAATAATAATAATAAAAATAAAAAAAAAGCTAAATGCTTGTTATTTACCATGCAGCGCAAGAGCAAGTGAGTTATTTTCCATGTATTCATAGACAAGCAACAACTGATTCTTCTCGACACAGCATCCATAAAGCTTGACAAGGTTTGGATGATTAAGACCAGAGATCATTCCTATCTCATTCACAAACTCGCGGTTTCCTTGGTGTGACTTGGAAGAAAGCTGCTTCACTGCTATGATGGTTCCATCCAACAGCTCTCCCTGCATTACAACTCTCATATCAGGAACCAAGAAACAGCCATACATTCTCAGATATTGGCATCATATATTTTTAGCATACTTTGAATACGACTCCGAAGCCTCCTTCTCCAAGTTTGTTGCCTTGATCAAAATTGTTTGTTGCAGCTTTCAGTTGCCTCCAAGTAAAGCAAGTTGTTGGCAGACTCTGGTATCTCAAATCTATGTGATCAAGTTCAAATTAGAAATCATAAGTATATATTTCTATGAGCATATATGAGTAAAGGGTTCATATTATATATGTGAACTTTGGTACCTCTTTCTCTCGTAATATTGTCTCCTCTGCGTCTTCTCCAAGCATATATTCCCAAGGCCAAGAGTGTGGTTGTTACAAACGCCCCCGTTGTCCCCAAAACTAGGGGATAATTAATGTGATGTTTTATTTTCTCCGCTGCAAATGATACACTAAGAGTGTAAATATATACATCTGCATAATATATAAACCATTCTAACAAAAGACAATGTTTAACAAAGTAGTTTTTTGTTTTGTCTAAGAACCTCCGCATAGCGGCTCATCACCTGAAAATTTGAAAGATGAATATTATCATTAGATTTTAGGAACCAGTGTCAAAAAGAAGAAGGTGACACAACTAAACTTGGAGAAAGCCACGAAAAAAAATACTTACTGTGACACAAGGAAATAGCAGAGATAAGAGGACCATAGTTTCCTCTGTTGGGGATGAAAGTTGTCCCTTTACCCGCCCAATACAACCGAATCTCTAACATATGATCAGTCACATTAATAGCTTTCACTTCTTTCACAACAGGCTTCAGAGTCCCGTTAGCCTCCTCTTTAATGTTAAAATCCCTCAAGAACAATTCTCCCTATAGGGAAGAGAAATGACAAAAGACTTCAATCTTTCATGCATGATTGAAAACATAAGTTCTTTTGTAAATCAGTAATGACGCTTTACCTGAACATAAACATCAAAAATTCGTCTGCCAAGACGACTATATAGTTCTTTGTCTGAAAACTGGATTTCCATAAAATGGAGTTTCACATTGTATGCTCCATTTTCCAAGCAGAACGCATAATAAACTAGAGAGAGTGCAGATCGACGTGCGGTCTTATATAGATCAGGAGAACCTCCAGATATTCTTAAACTAGTTGAAATGATGAACGTGTCATCATCACTTGTATCATCGGTAAAATCACCTGTGTTGCTGATTCCCCATCTTTCCAGGTGTACATTTGTTGCCGCCAAGACCTTATTGTTATCAGCTTGATAAGTTATTTTACTGGAGGAGTTTATAATCTGTAAACTTCCTCCACCACAATTTATATGTAGTGATCTCTGATCTACAACCAATAATAATATCAACTATCAACAGAAAGTTAATAAAGCTCAAAAAAGAACACAATGTCTATATTAGGTTAATAAAGCTCAATATTTACTAACAGCTCTTGCAGTTGACTGGACCAGCGCATGGAAGAAGACCAGTTCTGTATGACAAGGAGATCAGAATATTAAGCTATAATATCATACTGCACAAACCTTCAAACATGTTTTATTGCTATATACAGAAGAAAGAAATACAAAAGTAGTATAAACTTAACCACTCTTGTTCTTACAAATTATTCTTCAAGTTTGAGCTCCGGTATGTGTTAATGTTACTGATTCATAAGCAGAAACTTCAAAATGAGCAGGATATACTAACATAAGATATAAAAAAAAATGTTCCATTTCATGTTGATACCGCTTTTCATGACAGTTTGATGACCATGAGAAATTGTTATAAGAGAGATCACTGCGAAGACCCACAAGAATATTAGTTGGGATGATGGCAAATTTCTCAAGCCATGCAAGTAGAGGGGAACATACATATTAGGTTTGCTGTTGACAAAGAAAGCAGATTCAACGTTTCCGGAAAGCATGTTGCCAGCCAGGTAGCTGAAATATAACCAATAATTCTCGATCTGGGATTTAAAAATACTCAACTCGGATTGTAACTACTTACGTATATCTTGGCGCCTTTTGTATATCGTGCACTTCACCAGTCAACTTGTTAAACGATAAATCTCTGCATGAGACAAAAATAAATATATCGTTTTATACTTGCATACAAGCCTCGCAATCTATACTCTTTCCACACAACATTTTAAAGAACTTACAGTCTCTTTAGGGTTGGCAAGTTCCAGATGTAAGAAGGAATGGGACCAGACAAACTCAAATTCCTCAAAATTCTGGAGCAATAGGGAAACATTATTAGTAAAATGTTCGGATACAAAATGACGAGAAACTACGAGCTTTAGTGGAAAGATGGATACAGGGTTTCAATGACTTTGCTGGATAGAAATGGAAAGGAGCCTATCCCAGTGGTATCACTAATTCTCCTGCGCATATGAATGTGTGTATATAGCTTAGATCATGAGTGTTGTTTCAGTTGTCCTTTTAATTTGTTAATCTACTAAAGATATGTAAATTTACAGATCACAAAGATTTTCTAGGCTGGCCACTGCCTCAGGAAAAGGTCCTTTTAGTCCACTCGCGTATAGATATCTGATGACCATAGTTGATACAGGTTAGACGGTACATAAGCAGAAACTATAAGGTCACATTAAAATTAGCAAGGGACCAGTTTTCGTACAGCCTTTTAAGCTGAGGCCAGTTGCCAATATATGCTGGGATAGTTCCACTTAAGTTATTGTCACATATCCAACTACAAAATCAAAACAAACAATTAATTTAGAGATTCAAAAGGTATGTTCATATGTTTTCTGGACTATCTTTCCACACACAAAAGCAAGTAAGTAAGTGAACGTTTAGGAAGTGTCAAGATAAAGTTCACAACCAAAGTACGTATAGTACGAAATAATAAATCTTGTATAAAAGATGCTAAGCAAGAAAGCTTTAGAAACACGTTCCAGTTCTATCTAGGTGGTTCATAAAACCATTTTTACCATTAAAGTTTTTCACTTCAAAGGAGCAACAACTTACAATCGCTCCAGGTTTACTAGTTTAGCAAGAGTGATAGGCAAGCTTCCTGTAAATTGATTGGATGAAAGATACCTGCAAAACCAAGTTTTAGAAACGATCAAACACTTTACATTTTTCCATTAAAACCAAAGATTTGGATGAAAAATAACAAAAAAAATGTTAGATGCCTACAAAGCCAAAGATTGTCTTACAATCGTTCAAGGTTGGTCAAGTTACCAAGCTCATCAGGAATAGGACCAGAGAACTGGTTTCCTTCAACACCTCTGAAAATTTTAACACATCACCGCAATATCAGTTCAAATGAAAATGTACATAAGTGGGAAAACTTTAGAGACGTACAGGAACTTCAGATTCTTTAAGTTTTGCAACCAACTTGGTAACTTCCCAGACAAACCATTCCCGGAGAGAGAGCTGCGAAAATGTTCAGAGTTACTTGTAAATTATGAATGAAACATCAGAGAAAGAAAGAGAGGAAGCTAACATGAGAATCAGGTGTGACATTGAAGCCCATTCCACTGGAATCGTGCCCGTAAGGTAGTTTGCGGATAAGTCGCTGCAAATAAGAGAAAAACAAAACTCTTCAGAAACTTTTCTTAATGTTCTCTTTGCAGATCCTTTCTAAACTCTTAAGTGTGACAAATCAACAAGAGTCCTTATTTAAAGTTTCTCCCTATCGCATAAAAGGTCTTTTTACATCTCTGTTTCCTTCTCTGCTTCCACTTTTTTTTTTGAAACAACTCTACTTCTACTTTTAGCTCACAAAGTGTGTTAGATGTATCAAACCTTGGACTAGTCATCGATTTGATTTATAACTTGTGTATGGTTAAACTTACATTGACTGGAGATATCGAAGCTTGGCCAACTCAGGTGGAAGTTTCCCCTCGAGAGTAAAATTCATGAGAACTCTGTATTTGTCGAAATCAATGCAAAGTGAAGAAAAATTAATAAATAAGAGAGAAAAGTAAGAAAAAAAAAAAAGAAGAATATCACTCACAATTCTGTGATATGACATATCGTTTTGTTGTTGAAGCTACAATCACAAGCAACGGTGTTGTTCACCTCCGAATTCAAAACAAAATCAAATTGTTGTGTAATCATTAGAGTTCCTAAACTGCATGGGTCTTCATAACTGAGGTTCACTCTCTTTATACCAAGTGTAGTAGCTATCTTCTCAAGCGCATTCACTGCACAGATTATCTGAGTATATATGGATGTTGACCTGTGATATTATAAAAGGTAAACTTATATGATTTAATTACATTCATCTGGATGGAGAGCTGGTGAAGTGGAGGTTCTTTGAATCAAGGAGAAGCTTGTGATGATGGCGAAGAACATGAGAGACGAGAAGTTAATCCACTTCATCGAGATAGATTAGAATATATCTGATAGTTTTGCGTGTGGACTTGTTTAGTCAGTCACAATAACAAGAAGAGATGAAATAGATGTCAAATTTTTTTATTTTTTTTTTGTCACAATAGATGTCAATTTATAATATTATTTTGACTAGTAGAAAGTAGCCGTACATACATTATTTTGACTAAAAGTCAAGATTGAATGATGGGTTGAATTATTGGCAAGTTGCCAATGCGAATGCTTACAGATTCATGAATGTCACATGTTTCATATCCATTTGTGTTTAGTTAATCAATTTTAGTAGCTTTTATACGGAGAGAGAGAATTTTCGTAGCTATATTTAATCTGACCAAAGGATTCTTGAAAGGAAACAAAACTGTAACTGTCATCTGTTTGAATGTTGATCAATTTTTCTTACGTGTGCAATTGAAGTCATCCTAAATAAACCCAGAGAGAGAAAGAAAAACCAATACAAGTAATTATCTTTAATTTTGTGATATTTATGTTCTGTCCGGACCTATATTTTTCTGAATCCATCAACTCGTAATTATTGGAATATCCTGTTAATCTAAATCGTAATTGGAATATCTTGTAAGAATACTTAACATTTTCTTATAAAAAAAAGCTAAGCATAAAATAAAGTACAAATAATTTAAAATATTTATTTAAAACTTGCATTAGAATTTTCCCAGAATTAGCCCTCTTAATATAGAACTGAAAGGCTTCAAAAGTATGACTTGAAAGATTACTGATTTCATTATATTTTGAATTTTTGGTTTTCCACAAACATTCAGTCCCTAACTAATCAACCATTAAGTTATGATGCAAAAGATGTTACAGTAAATGGACTCTAAATGTGTAATAGACTTCCAAAACATATTACAAAGATAACAGTAAGATAATTTAACAACAAAAAAAAAAAAAATAGAGAAAGAACAGAAACTATAAACCTCTTCAGCTCCTTGGCTCGTCTTGCTTTTTTTCTTGTCCAGCCACATTAGCATCCACATTAGTAGATGAAGAAAAAGAAGAAGATGGATAACTGTTAACAGAACACTGCGTCTTACTGTCGTTATCCATGCCTTTCCTTACATCTTTAAAGGCCTTAAACCTTATATCCCCTGATTTCTTGCTTGTTCCAGGAGTTGAATCAGGCACTGGATAGAAACCTTCGAGCATTGCAACAACCTCCGACATTATAGGACGATCTGTCGGAGAAGCGTTCGTGCACACAAGAGCCACTTTTATTACAGCCTCTGCTTCTTTCTTGTTCACTTCAGGTCTCAATCTCTCATCCACAACTTGCATCAAGTGTCCTGCCTCTTCACACTGAGTAGCCTGTAATAAAAAAAAGGTTGTCAAGAAAACAGCTTCATAAACAACTGAAAATTTGTGTAACTTACCCATTCCAAAAGACAGACTTCATCTCCTGCCGCCATGAAACTACTGTTGTTTATGCCAGCAACGATCTCTAGGACCAGAACACCGTAGCTGTAGACATCTGCTTTGAAAGATAAGTATCCCCAAAGTGCGTATTCTGGTGCCATGTATCCTCTGCATAGAGTTTTTTTTTTATGGTTAGCAAACAAACAGTAACTGTAAAGAAAAAAAAAAAAAAAAAAAAAAA